CTGCTCGACAAGGACGAAGACGCACTGAAGGCAGCAAGTAAAGAGTTGGAGGAAATAAAGAAAGAGCTGCACGGGATGGGCGACTACAAGACGGCGAAGAACATGTGGGAAAACAGTCGGCGCACCTCAAGGCGCTGGACTTCGTGGACAAGTGGGGCGACGACATGCAGATGTTCAGCGCGTGCAGGAGGAGCGCAGGGTGGGGCGACAAACAGGGCGTCGCCTGCTGGCGCGGGATCGCCGGGCCAAACAGGTTGTGGCGGCAAGGCCCCGGCGCCAACTCGCGAGGGGGCAAGTGGCAGTTTTGGCGCACGGTGGGCGGGTCGCAGCTCGTCCAGGCGCAGGAGAGCCAGTCGGAAGATGAGCTCATGAACGAGTGGGTAGACAAGACGAAGGGCGCATTCGGCGATGACTGGGGGGGGGGCAGACATCGGGTGCAAGTCGAAGTTCCTCCCGTTCAAGAGTGGGCCGTCAATGGTGGCGGGGCTCAAGGTGGGGAATGGATGGGAGGCTCTCGCAGCGGAAAGGCTGCCGCAGCAGCCAGACGACGCCATCGCGGAGAGCCGCTGTAAGTAAGCCCAGAGGAGCATCTCGAGCTGATCCCCGTGGCGTTCCCGATGGCGCACAAGGTTCAAAGTTGCGATCTCATCGCAAGGTATCCTGTGGGCGCGTGGGAAAGGGCATGGAAGAGATCCTTCACTGTGCAGAGCTGGTGCGAGCTGGCGCTGAAGAAGTCGTGGAATGACGAAGAGGGCCTCCACGATGTCATGATGGTCGCCACGAAGGAGCTGAGCAGCGAGGACAATCTCGACCCAGAGGAAGTGAAAAACGCCCACAGAGCGACAAAAGCTACGAGACAGCACGCAGACCCTGCTGGATGGCACCGAGATCTTCGCGCACAATTTCGCCTGCCCCAAGTTGGAGGAGACGGCGGCGGCCAGCTCCTCCAGCGGTCGCCAGCGAGGGCGCCCGCTGGGGCCCACTGGAAAGCCAAAATGTGCATTGGCGATGTTTTCTCGGAGTGCTACCCTGGGCAGCTGGGCGAGCCCGCTGGCGAAGCCAAGAGATGCATTCGCGAGATTATCTCGGAGTGCGACTCTAGGCAAACAGGACGGGCAATCACAGAGCGCTCGCGCTGGCATCGCCATGGGGCGTCTTTTTGGAGCGCCGACCAGTGCATCACTGCAGGGTGATGAATGGGAGGAAGCAGTGATCATCACGAAGGCTACCAGAGCGCATCCTCGATGGCCCCCCATACAACGTACCGCGACTACCAGCGTGCTCCGCCCCGCATGCAATTCGAAGGGACACGCTAGGGCACTTCAACAGGGTACCAGAGTACAGATACAAGAACGCATGGGACAACTATCGGCCAGTTCTGCGTGGAAGAGATGTGAGCCGAGCGAGAGAGATTTCATAACATCAGTAGGGTAATCAGGCCCCCCAGCAAAAGTGTGGGAAGCACGGGCCTCCCGACCCTCTCCCCCTCCTACTTTTGACTCGTCGTGTCGTCGCCTCCTCCCCCCTAGCTTGGGTGCACTGCTGAGCCCGCGCGTCCCCGTCCCTTTGGCGCGCGGAAGGGCCAGCCGCTGCTTCCCCGCAGTGGCCCGCGGGGGCTCGTAATCGCAAGGTAGCGAGCCTCTCTTACGGGGCCAGCGCGGAGCTGTCTCCTTGAGCAACGGGGTATGCCCCCTGCCGGCCGTAGTGAGAAGCCAGGGCCTTTGCACAACCAATGGCAAGGCATTTTGCCAGATGCGCGCAAGGCGCCAGCGTAGGTGTTTTGACGTTGAACTCCCTTATGCAGATGTCCTTGTCCTTGCCCTCCTCCTCCTCCTGCCGCTTCCCTTCCCGCCCCTTCTCTTCAACATCATCCTCGTTCTTGCCCTTCCCCCCGCGCGTGCGGGGGGGAAGGATGGGGCGGCCGATTTGCCCGGTCGCCCCCAGGGCTGGCTTCGCTGGGACGTGTGCGTTTATTTCTCTCGGTGGGGCCAGCGCGAGATAATTTGAGCCAGCCACGAAAATGTTGGACAGTTTTGGCAAAACACGAACGGAACCGAACACTGCGCGGGGAATGGTCGTCCGAACGTTGGCAGGGTGCGCGAATATGATCGCGCCTTGGCGCTTTACGCGCTGCGGCTCGGGCCGGGCAGCCGCTTTTTTCCAGGGTGGCTTCGCAGGGGAGCGGAAATAACCGTGCAAATCGCGTTGTGTGCCGCGCAAGGCCCGGCGACGTACAGTCAACGCGCTCAAACAAAAACGATTTGGGGTTCAGCAAGAGTTCTGGTTGGTTGTGGGGCCGTTCCATGGTCAAGCGGTGGCACGGCGTCGTGGCCTCCCTACAGTCCCACCACAATCTTGTATACACTTCATTCTGAGTTGCGCGAAATGTGATTCGAACGTGCCTGGTTGACACCGTTTTTTTTTTGAACATATCGTTTTAAAGCTGCAAAAGCTTTGTTTTTGTCATCCGCGAGGGTTTCGTCCCCTGCCGCTGGTCCCTTCTTTCGGAAAGTGGATCATGCAAGAGCTACGTCGTGAGGCTTGGGCGCCGTCTTGAAGCAGCGTTGGAACCTGATGCGAAAGCCATTGGCCAGACAGAGGTATGTATACTCATATGATATTGTTGAATTCGGTGATGCATTTTGACTTGCCCCCGCACGCTGTGCATTGGAGGCCCTCTTGGAAAGTCTGGAGGCTGCCTGAGGCTATAGTGGGCAAAGTCGCGCGGTTGGGGCGGTCTTCGGGCTCCCCGGCGTCTGTTGGAAGGGATTGAGGCCTTCGGGGCGCGACGGCGCCATCGTTTGGAAGGAATCCTGGCCTTGGGCGTGGGAATCTCTTGAAGTTACAAAGGGCTGATGGCCTCGGAGACGAAAATATTGTTCAATTTTCAGCGGTGTATGGCCTCGGGGACGCGAATACGGTGTAAAATGCGAGAGGTTCGTGGCCTCGGGGACGCGACTGATACGTAATTGTCAATGGTTTAAAGTTTCGGGGACGCGAACATCGCGTAATTTACACAAGTTGATGGTCTCGGAAACGCAAACAGTGTGTATTTTCCAAGGTTTTTGGCTTCGGGGACGCGACTATTTTGGAATTGCTATGGTTTATGGCCTCGGAGACGCACACATTGTATAATTTTCGAGGGCTCCTGGCTTCGGGGGGCGCAACGGAACGCAACGCAACGCAGCCATGATCAGCCTATGGCACAGTGCCTTGGCAAGATAAGAAGTTAAGGAGGAGAAGGAGGGGGAGGAAGAATGACACACGCTTCGGGGAGGCGCAAGTATTGCATCAATTACAAAGATATCTGGCTCCAGGGACGCGACTACTGAGTCATTTACGAAGGTTTATAGCCTCGGGGACGCGAATATTGCGTAATGTTCAAAGGCTTATGGCCTCGGGAATGCGAATTTGGCATAGTAAAAAAAAAAACACGGCCTCGGGGACGCAGGCATTCTGTAATTTACGAGGGACTGTGGCCCCGGGGGCGCGATGGCGGCGTAGGTTACGAGAGATCGTGGCCTCGGATGCGCGAACTCGATGTATTCTTATGTGATCCAGGGCCCCCCCAGAAATTTTGAGAACCGTCCCGAGGCAGGAGGGTAGCCGGGCCCCTTTTCGACTCCTCCTCTCGCGCGGACAGCAGCAACATTGTAACTAAGGAGGGAAAGAAACACACAGACACAATTAATCGTCGATCCCCCAGAAAATATGGGATAATATGGGAAGTGGGGGGGAAGGCAAAAGCCCAGAAAATATATGGAAGTATGGGACATCCTATTATTTGTGTTTATTTATTTGTGTGTCCCAGGGCCCCTTCTGTAACCTTGGAGACTTGGGGACTGCAACTGGCGGAGTGAGCAGCAGCCTATCTCCACAGCCGGCGGCCCCACGGGGGGGCCGGCGGGTTCAAGCGTCTTGTCGTTCGAGGAAGGTTTCGTGCTAGACCGGCAGCTTTGGGCCGCCCACCAAGGCCGGACACTTTACGACGAAAGTGCCCGGTGCTGTGATTTGTCGTAAAGTGTCCGGCGCTCGCCTGGTTCCACAAAAAAAAAAAGACCGGCAGCAGGAATTGTCGGGCGACGAAATCTATACATATCCACTGCTCCCTGACCATGCCCATCTTGAACCCAGGAGCTGTGTATGCGCCTTCCTGGCCAAGCCAGGAGGGCGTGGCGTATACACCGCTGCGGGGTTGAGGATGGGCCTGGCCAGGGAGCAGTGGATATGTATAGATTTCGTCGCCCTAAATTGCCAGGATTGCCGGCCCCTGCTCGTGGAGTTCTATCGTGGCCGAGGCTCTCGCCGTGGCCCGAAAAGAGGCCCCCCTTGCCTTGTGCAGGTGGCCTGCGCCGTTCCGCCGAGGAGCATTTTGGACGATCGCAGAAGATTGATCTTGGGTCAGGAGCCTCCTGGATGAATCGAGGAGGAGGAGGAGGAGGAGGAGGAGGAGCCTCCTGGATGAATCTGAGGTTCTCTCGGGGATGTCTCTCTGGGGCCCGTGGGGAGAGCTCTCGGGGGCATGTGGGAAGCTTCTTGGGGCCTCGTGGGGGCCTCCTGGGGGGCTTCTTGGGAGCCTTCTTGGGAGTCGTGGCCGAGGCTCGCCGTAGCCAGAAAGGCCCCTCTTTCCTCCTCTGGCGCCCCTTCTGGCAGCACGGCCGCTGCACGTTCCCACGAGCCTGGGCTGTTGCCTCGGCGGAGGCCAGCCGCCTGCGCCTCCTCCGCGCCCCCTGCAGCTTCGGGTGCCCTCGCCCCCTCCCTCCCCCCCCTCCCCAAAAAGAATAACATCAGGAGGGGGAACAAAAACACACAGACAGTACCAATCGTCGATCCCCCGGAAAATGTGGGAAACCATGGGAAGTGGGGGGGAAGACGAAAATCCAAAAGATAGGGGGAGAGATGGGGAACCCTGTGATCTGTGCCTATCTCTTAGTGTGTCCCTGGGTCCCTCCATGATGGTAATCAAAAAAAAAAACAGCGCGTGCGCGCGCCCGCGGGAGGCGTACCGTGGGGGTCGGACCTGACCCAGGAGGCGCCGCTCGGTGGGGCCCTGCCTCCCCCCCGCTCCCCGCCCCCCCCCGCTCCTTGCGGGGCGAGCGGCTCGCGCAGAGCGCGGTCGCCCCCTCTCCTTGCTCTTTTCTCTTTTCTTGGACCTGCCTCCTCGGAGGCAGGCCACCGTCCTAGTCCTAGTCCTAGTCCTCCTCCTCCTCCTCGATCCTTCTCGATCCTCCTCCTCCTCCTCCTCCTCCTCCTCCTCCTCCTCCCTCCTCCTCCTCCTCCTCCTCCTCCTCCTCCTCCTCCTCCTCCTCCTCCTCCTCTCGCCCGTCGCCCTCCCCGTCTCTGTCCTGGTCGTCTCCGTCTCCCCGTCCCCCAAGAGGCGCCCTCGAGGGCGCGAAGTTTTGTTCGCGCTTCGCGCTTCGCGGTTCGGCTCCGGTTCCTCCTCGTCCTCCTCTTCTCCACTGGGAGGCGGCGCGAGAGCGCGAAGTTCTTGGCACTTCGCGCTTCGCGCAGCGCGGAGCGCGAAGTTGGGAGCCCTTGGGAGGCTTGGGTCTTCTTAGAAGGCTCGCAAGTCCCCCCGCCTTCTGGAGCGTGCTCTAAGCCTTCCACGAAGGCACAGGAAAGACCTCAGAAGGTGCTGCGGGCCTCTGTGAAGTCCCGCCGCTTTCTGAGAGGGCCTTCTCCTCCTCACTCCCCCCCACTCGCTCACCGCCCGGTGGGTGCAGAGAACAGTGGGAGCTTTTCTGCGGGAGGAGCGGCCCGATGGTGGAGCATGCGCGGGGAAACCAAAAGGTGCCGATACCGCCCGGACCTCTCCCAGGGCGCATTCTGACCAGGATTTCGAGGCGACTCCAGCGGTGGTGACGAGGGCCTCCCAGGAGGCCCCCCAAAAAGCGAACATGAGGCAGGGGGCAGCGGCACCGACACCCTGGCCTTCCTCCGAATGGGGGGGGTGGGGAGGGGCAGGATTTCGAGGCGACTCCAGCGGTGGTGACGAGGGCCTCCCAGGAGGCCCCCACACAAAGGCGAACAGGAGGCAGGGGCAGCGGTGTCGGCACCTCAGCCTTCCTCCGAATGGGGGGTTTGGGGAGGGGCAGGTGTCCCCCCCCCTCCCCGAGCCCGTCCCCTACCCGTAAGTCGGGCCCGTCCCTCTACAGGAGGAAAATCCAAAAAGAGTAAAACAATAGTCTGGGGACTATTGTTTGAATATCTTTTTTGGTATTTCAGGGCATCTTTGAGTATTTTTCATTTTTCGCCCAGAATCCGTCTGTAGGGGGACACGCCCGGCTTGACCCTACCCGTGTGCAACTCGCCTGTAGGGGGACACGCCCGACCTAAAACTAGGGGAACGAAAAATGATAGAGTCATGGAAACTCGGAGGTCCGCGCGGATTTTGACGAGCGAACAACTCACACCCATACCCATAGGAGGGTCGAAAGGAGGGGAACTGGCTATGGGTATGGGTGCGAGTTGTCGGACCCTGGGGGAAGCTCCCGTTCGAGCGGGGACCCCCATCCGACAACACGCACCCATAGCCTCCTCCGTCGCCCCTCAGGGGATGGGTGCGTGTTGTTCGATCGTCAGATTTCTTGGATCCGCGTCGGGCCCTCATCCGCCCCTGGCGCGCGGAGCGCGCCAGGGGCGGCGCCGGCGGCGCCGCCAGGGGGCCCCCAGCGCCGATCCGAGAGAGCCGCGCGGACTTCCGAGAGTGTATGTTCATGTCATCGTTTTTGCCCCCCCCCCCCCCCCCTGTATGTCAGGAGGGAACAAAACACACAGACACAATGAATCGTCGGTTCCCCGGAGAATATGGGGAACTATGGGAAGTGGGTGGGGAGACAAAAAGCCAGAAAATGCATTGGAAATATGGGGAATCCTGTTATTTGTGCGTATATATGCATACATATACACATACACATCATGTACGAGCGATATACACATACACACACACACATGTGTGTGTGTGTGTGTGTGTGTGTGTGTGTGTGTGTGTGTGTTCCAGGGCCCCTTCCATATTCGAGGCCGGGCGTGAGAGGCTCCGGACTCCGAGCCGGTGGCTCCTGGCCTCCCGCGCGTCGGAGGTTGATGGACCTGCCCTGGCGCGTCGACTAGCCAGTGGGCCGTGTTCGGCTCTTGGCATCGCTCGGACGTGTGCATTTTTCTTTCGGCGAGGACCATCGAGGAGCATCCTTGATCATTTGGCGAACAAGCCACCGAAACAGACAAAAAACACAGGGAATGGACGTCCGAACGATGGCCAGAATGGGCCGTGTTCGGCTCGCGAGAGGGCGCCGCGGCCTCATCTTTGCGGGTCCAGGTCCATCGGCGTTTTCACTAAAGGGTGGCTTACTCAAGGGCTCCCACGAGGGCGCGAAGTCATTCGCGCTTCGCGGTCCTCGTTCCTTCTCCCCCTCCTCCTCGTCCTCCTTTTCTCCCTTTGGGGGGGGGGGCGGCGCGAGAGCTCGAAGCTCTTCGCGCTTCGCGGAGCGCGAGAGCGCGAAGCTGGGAGCCCTCGCTAAAGGGAGGCTTGTCCACCGCCGAGTGTGGTCTCCCGTGCGTGGCCCCGCGATCGGCGACAGCCTCCCGCGGGCCCAGGCGCGGGGGGGGAGGGGCAGAAGGAGGAGGAGGAGGAGGCAGAGGTGGAGGAGGAGGAGAAGGAGGAGGAGGCGGAGGAACGGAGGAGGGGCGGAGGAGGTGGTCTCGACCCTGCTGGTCCCTGCCATGCTGCCTCGCGCGTGGCCGCTCCCTCCGTCAGTGGCCCCTCGGCTCGGCCCCCGGAGGGAGCGGGAGCGCGCGCGGGGCCGCAGGGCGCGCGGGGCCGCGGGGAGGCGGCCCTGCCGCTGGGCGGCCGGGCGCGGCGTGCCCGGCGCCTCACGCGGCGCGCTGCACCGCTCGCAGAGCGCCTGTTCGCAAGCGTCCCAAGAGCACCGCCTCTCGCCCCCCTTCTCCTCCACCTCTCTCCTCCTCCTCCTCCTCCTCCTCCTCCTCTCCTCCTCCTCCTCCTCCTCCTCCTCCTCCTCCTCCTCCTCCTCCTCCTCCTCCCTCCTCCTCCTCTTCTCTCCTCCTCCTCCTCCTTCTCCTCCTCCTCCTCCTCCTCCTCCTCCTTTTCCCTTTCCTCCTCCTCCTCATCCTCGCAGAGCGGATCTCGTTCGGAAAACCATGGGATGGGCCCAGAGTGTCCTAAGGGTTTCGCTCCAGACTTCGACGCGGACGTCGTGCGGATTTGTTTGTGTGGCCAGGAACGAAGACTGCAAACCATCGACGTGCAATGCACTTCGTGTTTCGCTCTCTTTTTCGGGATTTCGCATTAGTTAAGCAGTGGCGAAGCGTCCTGGCTCGCCTATAGTCCTACCAAATAATGTTCTAAGAACCTTTTGTGTTTTCCACGAAATGTTCTTAGAACATTTCTGGCTGAGTCTGTCTTGATTTAACACATCGGGTGTTCTAAGAACATGGTTTTTGTGATTCGAGCATTTTTGAGTTCTAAGAACATTGCGTGGTAGGACTACAGGAATGCCGGGACGGTCGGTCCCTGCTCAAGTTTCGGGGTTTTGCATTCGCAGAAATCCACGCGCAAATCCGCTGCAGCACGTCTGCAAGGTCGGTGCAGTGTCCTGTTTGCAAATGCCCACAGAGCACATCGTGTTTGCCCCGATGCAATGCGGCGGCGAGCGAGGAGGTCCGAGGTGAGACGGAGGAGGCCCTCTCAGCAGGCGGCGGGACTTTTCTCCGAAGGGCTCGGGCCTTCCGGGAGGTTTTTGTCTGCGTCGTCGGGGAAGGCTTAGAGGACTTTTGCAGAACGCAGAGGACCTTCCGAGCCTCCCTGAGGAGGCATCTTCCTTCTCGCTCCCCCCCCCCCGGGGCTCGCCGCCGAGTCGTGGATCGTGAATGCCCCGCGGCGGGTCCAGGCAATCTGGGACGAACGGACAACACACACACCCATACCCGTAGGGGGGTCGTTGGTAGGAGGACTGGCTATGGGTGTGGGTGCGTGTCGTCGGACCCTGGGGAACGCTCCCGTTCGAGCGGGGACCCCCATCCGACAACACGCACCCATAGCCCTCTCCGATCCCCCTACGGGTATGGGTGTGTGTTGTTGGCTCGTCAATCTGCGAGTGACTGACACGCGAGCAGTGGAGCGCGCCCGGCCGTGCCCGCCCAGGCCGCCTCGCCGCCCGCCGGCGGCGGCCAGCAGCAGGCGCCGTCCGCGATGGGCCCGGCGACGGGGGCGCGGGGCCGCCGCTCGTTCGGCCCGGGGGCGCCTCAGGGCCTCGGGGCGAGTGGTGGGGACGGACCAGCCCGATGATCGGGCGGAGCGCAAGGGTGTGATCTTGGCATCGCTCGGACGTGTGCATTTTTTTCGGCGAGGATCATCGAGGAGCATCCTTGATCATTTGGCGAAACAACCACGCACGGAACCGAAAAAAACACAGGGAATGGACGTCCGAGCGATGGCCAGTGATAAGGAACGGGGGGGTGCGAATTCTCCTGCATGCAGTTGGTTTCTGCTCCGCCTCCGGGCCCATCCCTCGACATATGGGCGCCTCCCGGCGCCAGGAGGCGCCGCTGGGTGGGCCGATTCCCTACACCTTGCCCTTGGCTATCCTACCGTTTCGTCCCCCCCCCCCCCCGAGTGCCGTGCTCAGGCGTCCTCGGACCGGGGTCGTCGAGGTTGGGGGTGAGTATTTGGAGAGCGTGTTTTGTTCCTGGGCGGTAGCGGGCGTTACCGGGAGGAGGAGGGGGGGGGCCAGGGGGGCCGGAAACGTCAGGAATCGCGCCGGCGCCGTCTGGCAATCAACTACCTCCCGCCATTCTCAAACGGCGTCGGCCGGAACCGTGACTTCATCGGGTGGGGAGGGGGGAGCACGTTTGGTGACGGCCGTGATCGCGAGTCGTTAACAAAGCGCGCTCTCGGGGGGCGTGCGCGGATGCCAGAACGCGAGGCGGTGGCAGCGGCCTGCGCGCCCAGGTTTGGCCACCCCGCTTCCCCCGTGAGGTCGCG